ATGTCACTCCATGTGCTCTGCGTGACACGGCACGTGAAGCAATGTCCACAGCTGGCAAGGGAATCACTGATGACATCACGACAAAGGCTCAGAGGGTCTGTGAACCCCACCTACTAACGAGAGGTCCCTCGAGAACTGGACTCGCATCTGTTCCATCTATAGCCTCTTTCCTCAGGTCACTGTGCCTTCCTAAACTGTAACTACACACATTACTACAAATAAACAATGAAACTATGACAGCAGAGATGCCTTATGTTTAGGTTTTGAGAGGATTTTTGAATTATTATTATTTTACCTAGAAAAACAGAAAAAGAACTACTGTAGGTCTCCATAGACAAAGCATCTGAAATAATAACCAACATCCCTTTAATATTTCTTGGCTTCTGAGCCTGGATACTTTCCCCAGAGAGAGCAATAGTCACTAAGCCTGGCCACTTCTTTACACTTGACTTCATTCCAAAAGTCATACAGGATTAAGTTTTTGAAAATGTGTGTTCTCTGTGAAGAATTTTGACCGCCCAGAACAGTGCATCTGCTCCTGGGTCGATAATAATGCAGTGGAGTCAATCACATGAAACTAAGAATTCATTAGTCGTGTTTCAGCAGGTGTTTATGGAGGACCCTACATTTCATGACACTGGAGGTATAAGCAATACCCAGCCCTCTCCTGGAAAAACTCAGTGTCACATTAATTAAACAGATCAATTCAATGTAACCATCACCAGAGTAAGAGCAAAGTCCCATGGAATTTTGTGGGATGAAGTGATTTTAAAAAGCTGTACAACGTGTCATTTAGATGTTATATTGCTGCATGTGTTTTGACATTTATGGGTGGCTTCCCTTCACCCTCCCCCCTAAAAAAAGAAAAAATTTTAAATAATTTAATACTCAAGTTTGAATGGGAAATCATTTGAAACTATATAGAAGGTATTTAGGTTGCATAAAAGGAAAATCCATTAATAACCAAGTTTCTAAACACTGGGACATACTATTAACATACTTATTTAAGAAAAAAGAAAAACAACCTTTGCTAGCAACTTCTCAGAAGAAGACTACCACACTTTGAAGGTTTCCATGAATTCTTGGCTCAAAGTATATCATAATCTGCTCACCTGGCAATAGAAGTCAATGTAAGATTGTATATAATTTCCCTGAACTTTTTGCTCAAAGGCACTGAAGTGATTTGAATGGGAAGCTAGCAGTGCCTGCTCAGGATGCCATAACCTACACATTTCTTCCACCCTCGGAGCTTACAGGGAAGCCATTTGGTTGATCTCACTGGCACTGCAGGCACAGCGGCTCACACACTGACCAGCACTGGCATGTGCTTCACTAGATATAAGGTCTGCTGCGTTATTCAGGGTCACTCGTGATCCTTGACCTGCAAGAAACCTGCCTCTCAGGCTGAGACGGTATTGGATCCGGCCATATGGACCTAACATGGCACAACTGTGAGGTGCTTTGCAGAACAAGGATGGAACTAGGTTACAATCCACCAAGAGCCTGAAAAGGTGACCAGCAGATATGCA